ACTTCCTATCCAATAACAACATTTTGCACTCATGTTCCTCTAAGTGACTGAAACATCTTCCTCACTGTCTTCTAGTACCCTTTGCCACTCCTTAATCCTTCAGATCCAAAATTGCACAACTTCAAGTAAGGTCACAGTATTTACAAATAGGGTCATAAATCCAGCAGTTCAGCTGTAGAAAAAGATTAATCTCCAAATGAGAGGTCTCAAGCCTGGGAGTACTATTCATCTCTCAGTGAGAGGTCTTAAACCCAGAAGTAGGAATCATTCCCAGAAGATGAGTGACCTAAATTAAACCTGGAAGTGAGGTTGTTAATGTAACAGGTTGGGACACTATTTCTAATCCAGAAAAATAATGGACAATAAAAATTTTCTTTCTTGCCACTGTTTTCCTTTCCCTTTTTAAGTTATACTCAAATTATGATTACCTTATCTGTCTCTATGTGTTTGCTGCTTCTTGTTCTTCCTTCAGTAGTTTCTCCTTGGTTTTGTATGTTACTCTCTTTATGTTCGTATACCTGTGTACCTTTTTGATATTGTTGCTGTCATCTGTGTGCCTTCCTTTGCACAACTCTCCATCTTTTGTTTGATCTTGAATACATCTGGAAAGATCTGAAGGACATATTTAAGTCTTTCTGGAAAAGAAATCCTGCTTTGCTATTTATAAAAATTATTAATTTGTACCAAGATGCACTCTGTTCTTCCCTGATTTGCCATTTGCAAGCTGGATGTATCCTAAAGCCCAAAGTCAAGACAAGTTTATGTTTGGATTTTACTGATAACATCCTTTGCTGTCAAGTTGCATATGCTTTTTTTTACTGGGTTTACCTGATGGTTTGATTACTTTGTCTTAATCTGTAAATACAGGGCAAAAGCCACTTTTTATTGCTACTCTTTTTACTCTTTTCTATTCTCAGCTTCTTATTCTCATACACATACATAAATAAAAAGAAATAAACACCTGTAAGTCACAGATCTGTGAGAAAGTAGGGGAAGAACCAACAAAAAAGACAACAGAAGTTTCAGCAGTTGATACCATCTAAGGAAAATACTTAGGAGGTAAATCCTATGACGTTTGTGGATTTAGATTCTCCCCAGGTGCGATTGTTTTTCCGAAAAGGCAGCTTAGTAGTGGTAATTATGACAAAACCCTCCTATCTCATAATGCTGCAGTGTAAACCTTAAGCTTTGTATATTTGTCAATCAAATGCATGACACTACAGTATACTGCACATATTTTATAAACGTGAAATGTAATAAATCTTTCTCTTGAAAGCAAACTAGATGTACAATAAGATAGCTGTAAGATATAGTAAAATATAAACATCCAAATTCTCTTTCTTGTTCCTTTTTTCTAAATCTTCACTGAAATAATCTTGCTTGTTATGCTTTATTTAGCAGTCTTGTTTGGTGCAGGTTTTCAATTTGTGCATCCCTGTTGCACTTTAATTACTGATACAGGTAGTTTTGTGGCCATACTGTACGGTACCTTTAACAACATGGATGTCTGAATGTGACATGAGGCAGAATCACTTTCAGAATCATTCTTCTTAAAGCTGTTGTTTGAATGTTCCCCTAGTATTTGAGTTTGCTTTCAGCAGATCATAAACAACATCTGGGGCAGTTAACTGCCAGCCAGCATGTCTGTTGTTCCCCAGCATTTAAAGTAATGTTTAAAATCTGCTTTATTCGAATCCATAACTGCATAAATTTTATTGGAAATATTCTGAAACGAAGAGATATTTTTTCTTTTCTTTGAGAAACATGCTCAGAAAATCCTTCATATGTTATTTCATCATATGCATAAATCTGGAGTGTCACGGCACTAAAACTATCGGATATGGCACCAGTCCCTTTGCAGAAGTCCATGCTGATCCCAGCATAATGTCTTCCCTACAGACATAAGATGCCAATAGATTTCCATTAGCACATTTTGAGTAATGAAGGCATAGCTGCTTGATTTGTGAAAATGAATTATGAAAGCACCAAAATACACTTGTCCTATGTTGACATAAGCAAAACTGGTATACTTACCCTTCCTAGGAAAATGATAGCAGCTACACAATTATTTTTAAGGAAGAAATTATTTTGATACTAACAGAATAATAATTTCCACATAGCTATGTAGAGCTATATGGGTGGTCTTCATTTATCCTTAGACAAACTGCAATGACATTTCTATACCATTCTCATGAATCCTCACCTTAACAGAAAGTTTCAAAACCTGTTTTGGAATATATATAGCATGAACATCGCTCTATTTTGCAATATTTCCTAAAAAGTGTAGTCAAACACATTATGCTTTGACACTCTACTGCTTGCAGGATCTTCAATGACTGTCATTCTCCCAGCAGTAGTTTTTCTTTCAGAGGAGCTGATAGACTCTACTGACTCACTGAGCCAACACTGCATACCAGTCTACTGAATCAGCTCAGTATAAGACTATAAGTATGTAACCCAGCAAGCGTCCATGCTGAGTTATTTTGATTTGCTCTAGGCACAGCAATTAAGAGGCACTTTTTGCTGCATTTGCAATGCAGGCAATTCAGCCCTCTTCCCAGTGTTGTAATCTGGGAAACGCAATACTCTGAAGTCACTCATTCTTTGCAGTGGTGCCTGAGAGTATTTTAGACTGGATTCCAGTGAACTGAGGCTAATATTTCCGTTTGCATGGTGCAGCTGTCCTTTGTCCCACACACACTGTCTCTGCAAGGGCTGTCAGTGTGGCTGCAGGTTAGGGTACTATGTGTGTAAGAGTGGCTTTTTGGCAGCACAATGTATGCTCAGACTGACCCAGATTTCTGCAGGCAAAGGACTATATCTACCTTTCCAGTAAGTGAAGAGAAACACAAAGTTCAAGAGTTGTAATTATTCTAGTGTCACATTGCCACACTAATGACTTCAGAACAACTGTCCTGAGCTTAGCGGGAACCTTTGTTCCATTTACCACAGCATAAAGTCTTTATGGTTATTTTGTTCTTTCCTCACCTGCCTCATCAGCTCGTCTTCTGTTATGACAAATGCATGTAACTGGGGTAAATACATTTACTTAACAACAGTTCAGCTCTAAGAATTGAAAAGAATGTGTCTCATTAATGTTGTTTCTCATCTCAAAATCACTTCTCAAAACATGCTTGACTATCCAATCCCTTTGTTTTGATGGATTTTAACTTTTTCCTTAGGACTGGGTTATGTCTGACACCTTATCCATTGGCAGGTTGTTTGGATACAAACTAAATTTCTGTTTATTAGTGTGTAGTGTAGGTAGTGTGCAATTCTTCTCCAGACATGGTATTTAGCTTATAAGGGAGGTATTCCTAATTATATATTTAATTTGTTGCATTCCACTCTATGTTACTTAGTATGGGCAGTATATCTTGATATGAAATCAGTCATAGTTATTACCTCTGTGCTAGCAAAACAACAATTTCCAATTAATTCAAACAGCTTTTGAATGCAGTGTACTCTACTTAGGATTATTCAAAATCTGTACCATTGATTTCCCAGTGTTATAATTTTAATTTCGTCTTCACTTCTGGTGTGCAAGTTTAGTGTGAAGTCACTGATGGTAAGCATCTTCAGCCAGTCTAGGTGTAGATGATAGTGAAGAAACTATTACCGATCCTTATTTGCAGTATTACGTGTTTGTTCTTGTAGTGGACAACCGCACTTCATAAATGGTATATCATTCAAGTACTTACTGTCCCTTCAACAGAAAATATGCTATACAACCATTTTCTCAGGGAACACCTGAAAGTTTCTTACTTGTCAGTAACTGCTACTTTGCTCTTTTGTTAAACAGCATCTAGAAACTTGTTTTTCACCATGGAAAATAATGTTGCAATTTCCAGTTATATTGAATGATATTTCACTCTTGTTCATGTTTTGAGCGATATCTAGAATTTGAATTTGCCAGCCCTTCCTAGACTGGAATCTGATTACACATGGGCTGTTCTCAAAGAGTATTGAGTTTTTTTTATATTCTCAAGGAACAATAGATTGGAAGTTGTGTATTATGTAATCTCTCTGTGCTCATTTGAAGGAAAGCACACAGAAAGCATTCATCTTCCATACTTAGCTATGCTTGTGCAGAATTTATGCTTCAAAACTTCAGAAAATACTGCACATGCTGTAAACTACCCAGGAATGCCCCAGCAACAGGTAGCAAGAGCAGCAGCAGTAGATATTTTGCTTGCTTAGTGCAGAATGCTTTGTCGTGCAGCAAGTACATTCTCAGTATTCCAATAGGATAGCAATGTTTATAGTGCCTGGATAATAGTAACAACAGTAACAACAATACCAAATTCTTATACAATGGTTCTCAATAGTACATATTGCATGATGATTTTCAAAAGAGGTCTGGCTATTCTCATTCTACAAATGAAGAAGCTGAGGAACAAAATGTAAAAGTGATTTGCCGATACCGATTTAGAAATTCACTTGCAGAAATAAAACCAATGTTAATATGATTTTGTGCCCACTACCTAGTATTACTCTGCCACTTATCCCCCTGAAATGTTCTGAAAGTTGCTTGCATGAGAAACTCTCCTGCTCTATATAAAAACATATGCCAGAGTCAGGGATTATAAAGTTAATTCAGGTATCTATTTCTTTGCCTTCTGCTGCAAACTACAAATCTCCCTGAAAAAATAGTATCAGAAAAATGTAGATTGCACTGCCAGGGATCAAAATTTATTTGTTATTGCTAGTTGTGAGCTAATACAGGGAAATGCAGAGTTCGTATTTCAGTAATAATTAATTGTAATAGTAAGAGGTGATGAATGGAATTGAAGTCTGCAAGGGAATTTTTTTCTTCTGTGTGTACATCTTTTCCTTGTTCCAACTGATGTCCAGGATGCTTTGCTTTATTTCCTTTCATTTCTTCTTTGTGAAAAATGGCCGAGGTATTACTTGAAGCAGCCTACTTGACTTATTGTCACTCTTTAAATTTTCTGAAAAGAAATACGATGAGCATGAGGAAGACAGCACACAAAAGTAGAGAATGAAAAAGAAGCACGAGGAATCAAAAGAGAAAGGATGGAGAAGATAAGCATCCATCAAGAACCACAAAGAAAGGAGGGAATTGATTTGCCTTTGTAGGGAGTTTATTAGAATTTGTGCTCTGTATTCCAAACTGGCCTTTTCCAGTCTCTCCCATGCTATTCTTCCTCAGTCACTCCTACAAGGCGTCTCATTTACTCACCCTCACAGCAGAAATCATCTTTAGTCCTTGCAGAACACTTGAGAGGTGTAAAAAGAACCCTGTGCCTAGCTGGTGTCTGTTGACATGATATTGTCACACTTCTCAGCTGCCTGGTGGTTATGTGAAGGTAATTTCTAATCTGGAAACAGACCAGTAGCTGAGAAGAAGACAAGAGAGACTGATGGTCTAAGGAAGCCCATGAACAGCAAACGTTACATTTGCTTCAATATGGCAAATTTGGGAATTGATAGTAGGATGCGGACTGGGAGAAGCATGATCAGAAAAGGAAGAAAAAGAGCAAAAGAGCAGACACAGTTACACAGGAAGAGGAATAAATCTTTGGAGGAAGGTACCACTTAAAAAAAAGAAGAGGCACAGAGTAGAGTTGAAAGAACATAGAACGTGAGAAAAAGAATAATCCAGAGCTAGAAAAGATGAACAGGAAAGCTGATGAGAGGGAAAGCTGAAAAGTAAATGACTGGGAAAAAGGAACAGTTAGAGAGAGAAGCAAAGATGATAACAGAAAGAAAACAATGGGAAGTACAGTCAGATATTTTTTCTTCCCTAAGAAAATACACTGCAAATATATGAATACAAAGTTAATATAAAAAAATTGTTTATATAGAGTACAAAATGGGCACTAAACTCTAGGGTGGAAGTGATGGCAATAAATAGGCAGGTCCCATTCCCTCAATGCAACAAATCTGAATGCTGGATTTGGCAAGACAGGCGCTTTTGTCCCCCTGAATGATATTATGATTGTATGTGCATAATAGGAAAATATATCAAGCATTTCTGTTCTGATTGCTTCACTATTTCTCCATTATTACAGTTTTCACAATACAATCACAAGAAACACGATACTCTAGCACTAAGCCCAAGTAAAATATAATTTAGGTGTTTGGCACTGTATGTATGTCACAGACAATTTAAAAATGCAGGAAGTGAATTTGAAATGAAGAGTATAATAATCTAGGACTTTGCACAAATTTGTTATTACCAACTAAATAACGTCATTATTTGTCTCCCTTTCATGTGGAGTGCTGAAATAAATTATTTGAGCATGTACTAATTTATACTACCTCATAACCTACTGTTCTCTTTCAGCACCTCCAATTCAAAATAAATGGCTATTAACAGAAAAAGAGTGAAAAAAGAACATAACAATGAGATATTAAAAATTATTAATATACGAAAGGGTATATAGAGAGAAATGCAACAAGATTTTCAGTCAGATGAATGTGTTTTAGTGGAGACTTGTGGACACAAAGAGAAGATATCATAAACCAAAATACTTATTCTTCTAGATCATAGAGATCACTTTAAGATCACCAACTGGCAATTAGGACAGTGAACTGCATGCAGCCCACCAGCCAGCTACAAAGAGAAGCACACGGGAGAATCATGTTCACAAAAAATGTTGATTGAACAAAAGCTTGTTCCAACTTGTGTAACTTAGTAAAATGGAAAAGTATGCAAAGGAAGACCATAACAGCTTTTGTTTAAGGGACTGATTAATTCACAGGTATAATGATTATGTGTATAAATGTAAAGTAAGTGGCATTAATAAGCTAAGGGGCTCCATTTTTTTGTCATTCCTTGGCAGGCATAGATAGATATGGAAACATAAAAAAGGGGAACTGTGAATGTTAAGAAAGACTGTCTTTAGGTGCTTACTTGTTCTAGTTAGATATTCTGTAGAGATTTTGCAGAAATGCAGGATGTCAGAAAGGATGCTGATGCTAATGCTAATCACAGCATGACATTGTAGAGAGTGCTATGAAACATGCCCTCATTCTGCTTGAGGCATGAGTCCAGACCTCATCCTAGAGGACACTGCAGACACACTATCTGGAGGTAACTTCATGCTCAGACATGGGGTTTGGGGAAGCCTTACAGCACAGCAGCAGAGGAGATATGGGCCAACATTATAACTTTGAATTATCCTAGGCCTGCAGCTTTCTTACCCTTTCCACCATCCTGTGTTTTATCTGATTTTGCAGTGAAGTTGTAATGTCTGCCATCAGGCAAAGACCTTTCTAGAAGAAACCTGATGCTGAACCCGGGAAGGTGCGATGTGATCACAGCAGGAAAAGAGCAAAGCGTACCTTCTAATAATATGAGAAGTGCTGATCTGTTGGCACATATTCCTATTTGTGGATATAGGAAGACCAGGTTAGATGAGGCCTTGGGTGATATGGTTTAGTGTGAGGTGTCCCTGCCTATGGCAGGGAGGTTGGAACTTTATGATCTTAAGGTCCTTTCCAACCCTAACTATTCTATGATTCTATGATTTGTTCTAAGGAACTCCCAGCTCATGAAGTTTTGGCTTCTCTCATCTATAACTGAATTAGGAATAGCAATGGGGAAGCAAGTTGGTATTGGAAAAACCATTATACCTGGAGTCTGTGTTTTCTTCTCCCTTTTGTTCTTTGTTGTATTTGTCCTAAAGAAAACAAAACAAAAAAAGTAGTTCAGAACCCCCCCCAAACAAAAACCCGCAATGCCATTGCCAAGAAACTCAGGAAAAACCCTTAGCCTAGTAATATCGTTATGTACCAGGATCAGTATTAAATAGGTGCTATATGATACAGTAAGCCTTGTTTTGAAGTGCAGGCACACTAATACATAGAGATACTTGAATGGTATAGACTGTGCTTATATATAACAGCACTGAAGCACTGAACATTCATGTGCATTTACTTGGTTCCTGTTTGTGTGGACCCAGTGTGTGGGAGGGTGTGCAGGGGGCTTTCAAAAGCCCCTGAACATCTGAGAAACCAAAGTCTAGATACTTGGAACCCCCATCCTGTATTCTTCAGGTTCCTAATCCATTAAAGCATTAGGAAAATCACAGTAATCCTGAAAAAGTGTTGCAATAATATATTTTCTGAAGACAAAAAAATACAACACATTTTACTTTTCAAAGTCAGCAGCAGAAATTAAGTATATTAGATTCATTTTCCAGGCATACCTACCTAGTTTTCCTCTTTTCTGAGCTTTTGCTCTTCTTTATATCCTGAGAAAGATTCATGTTCTTTGACTGCATGGTGATTTCCTGCCTTGCTGGTTCCAGATTGTTGTTGGAGATTTCTCCTTTTATTCCACTCTCTTCTGTGGGTTCCACTGTATCTGAGAGAGGAACTTGGCTGGAAGAGATTTGCTTAACAATAACTTCTTCCTCTGCTTTTAGATTCGCCACATCTTGTGGGTCATCCCTCTTAAAGGAAAAAGGACAGATTAACAGATACGAGCAACAGACATTTAAAAAAAAAAAAAAAAAAAGCTGTGCACAAGGCTGATGAGCACAGCTGGAACTTTGTGGTCATTTCCTATAGTCCCTTATATACTGAATATTCTGCTATAAAGGGGTGTCAGACAGACCATCCAAAGGAAATGTGATATATTTATCTAGAAGAGAGACTCCTGTTTCTCCTACATTATCAGGAGTCTGGTTGGTGATTATTGGCCTACAGCTTTTCCTAGAGGTGACTATGCAGTCCACCATGGCAATACCAAGTCCAGAGCTTAACCTCTGAGGTTTGTTTGTGGCTTCACCTCCAAGTTCTCTGCTTCTGATTCATGTCCTGAATAACTTTATCTCCAGATTATTCTCCTCTCTTTGCTCATATACAGAAGCTGAGAAAAGATCTTTGCTTTCTATTCTGTCCAGATTTTGAGATTAGTCCTTACAAAAAAATCTTTCTAAGCATCCTTCCTTTAAGTAGCTGAGGCAGGGATACTTGTCTCTCACATGCAGACAGTTCTCTAGCTAAACAGAAAGAGAATAGGGAGGATGCAATAGTCCAAACTAAAAAAAAAAAAAACAAAACAAAAAAACTATCAGTAGAAAAGTCAATACTGAGTGACAGGCAACACCTCAAGGTGTTGAAAAATTGATGAATGTGACTGGGAACATGAGACGTCTATTCTGCAAAGAAAAATTGAGATTCCAGGTTTGGGCCATTGTATAGTGAATCACTAGTAATACCTGCTGTACATGCAGGAACTGACATTCATATCAGGCCAGCTATGTCCAGAAGCTGGAACAAGGGTCCAGTCTGACATCAGGTAAGAGAGAAAGCAGAAAACCCAGAAGAAAGGTGTCTATGTACAGATAGTTGAAGCAGGAAAATACAAATTAAGTATAGGATTTACAAATTTCTTACTTTCTTACAGTCTATGCATTCTTGACATAACCAGTATGGCTAAGTCTGTACGGTTTCAGCAAATCTAATCTGAATATGCTAGTTTTCCCCTAGATTGTTTCCAGTCATCTGTTTACCTCATCACTGATTTTTTCTTGAAAGAATCATCTGTCACAGTTTTCTCCTCTCTCAAAATGATATTTTTCTAATTCCCTTGTAATTTTTCTGCTGCGCAAGAGTTTTCCTTGTCTCTGTACATGCAGCATTAAGCACTGGCCATGTGATTTTGTGTTTCTCTTCTCCCTGTGGACATGGCTGTGCTTGGCTGAGGGGCGAGCTGGCTTGAATGGAAACTGAAGACTCACTGATAAATGTGCTGACAAAATGTTTGCTTGAAACTTAAGGGAAATAGTGTTAGGTAATGTTGAGTAACATCATTAACCATCCAATTGCTTCCTAAGTGTGACACTAAGGTAACAGGTCCCTTCTGTACTATAGTTAAATTTCTGTATGTGATATTCTGTTTAGGACCTGAAGCATTTTTGCTGACCCTCACTGTTCTCCTTGTTTCTCTCTTAACTACAGTGAGCAGCTGCCTTCTGCCTGCCTGCTGTAGCATTTCCCTCAAGAACTTTCTGTCCTTTGAATTGATCAAATGACTTTGCCCTCTTTGCTTAACCAGTTGTCAGTCCCTGCAGGGGGCTCAGCTGTGCTGCCTCTTTCCTCCTCTGCTTTTTTTCAGTGAGTTGTAGAATTCAGTCAAAAAGAACTATTTAAGGACATATCTCCAGCTATGAGGGAAAGCTGAACACCAAACAATAAGTAGTATGCTATTTACTGATTTGCAAAAATTTAGGAGGGCTATGGTGCACCTAGCATCCTCTCTCCCATTGCCCTGACATTCTGGAGGGAGTTTACAAGCCAGCTATTTTGATAAACAGAACTGTAGCTCCTTCAAAGCACTCAAAAAATCAGACTTGCGAGATAGTTCAGAATATGAGCAGAAGCAATACTTTCTGATTGGTCAGCTTGAAAATTTGATATCTGTTTGCTGGAGACCAACCTTTTCTGATGGGTCATTTGAGCTGGGAACCTTCTTGGGACATGTGTCTAAATCCCTGGATTTTACATTTGCTTCAGTATTGCTGATGTCTTCAGGGGGTTTTAGGAGAGAGATGAGCTGCAGCCACAGGTGGAATAGGTATTGTTGATGGTCTGGTGGGGCACAGAGCTCTAGATAATAGGAGCGGCCATTTACTAATTTCAACATGAGATGATGATTAACTGTGCTGTGAACGGAAAGTTCCACAAACTTCAAGGGGAAGAGCCTGTGAAAAAAGGGGAAAACCCATCATTAAACACAAGTGGAAATTTCTCTCAAAGAAGCTATTGTGTCTGTCAGACCTACAGGTAGAGTAAGACTGAAAGTGATAATTTGGAATAGAAATGATCTGCTGAGTGGATTTAGACACTCTTCTCCCTAAATGTCCCTAGCTAATTGTGGAAGAAATGCTGGGCAGCAGTGTGAGAATGGAGGTAAAGGAAGTTAGCATCTCTACAGTGTCTTTATTCCATTACCTTATTCCATTGCAAACCTGTAGCCCTAGTCTTCCTACCATCTTTCAGCTTCTGATATATTTAGAAAGTATTAAGTATTTGTAATCATCAAGCTATCTATACACGCGGGTAGTATTGGCCTAGAATTATGACTAGAGTGGGGCCTGAATATTTGTACTTAAGGATTTCTCCTAGCTTTATAGTGTTAGTGCTGGAACAACGCCAGTGCAAGCATGATGTCTGTCAATAAACTAACCTTTAAAAGAAAGAAAATGCTGTATGGAAATGGGAAATACGTTCATATTTCTTATTCATTCTTCAAAGAAATACTTAACCCTTCTCAGCACTAACTCACCTGGTAAGTGCTAGCTCCTTCATGGGGAATGGCGGTTCTGAGAGTTTCCAGAAGTTTTTCATACTGTTCTGTGGGAGCATGGACACCTCACATGCTACCAGCACTGCCTCAGGCATTAGTGAAGTGGGATTGGCAGAACAGATGCCAATGATCACGCAGGTGGGTTGGTTATGGATGGAAATTGGTTCCCCTCTTCGGTTAACCTGAACAACAACAAGAACAAAAAAGCCCCATCAACACTGACATTTGCTGTATGATCTCTCAGAGAATATGCTAGCAATACATTTAATGGTGTTTAGGCTTGGGGGCCCTAGAGCTTATGTATTGGATTGGTGAGGATAGAGGAGAAATTGGAATAATGAAACAGGAATGCATGTGAATGAAAACAAAGGAAAAGTTGAAAAATTATAAAGGAGAACTGGAAATCACTGGCTCTTATGTAGTCCAAATAATTTGGTATCTGATTGCTGTGGTCAGAAACCTCTTGAGTACCATTATCTGTTACTGTACACATGATGGAAGAGGAACTCTGTTCTGATGACTCATAGTCTTTGTCAGCAATACTGTGGTACTAATGAGACCTGGTTATGAACTAGGGTCCTGCTAAGCGCTGTACAAACACAGGAAGGAAAGTGATCCCAGGTAATTTATGTGTAAGACTTGAAATTACAAAAAGAAAAATGAGAAAATACAAGGAGATAAGAATAAGTTGATAAATGTGATCAAATCACATCTGGTGTACCATTGTCAGGATCTGGTTTTGATGGCCAGAGAAAAAGCGTGTCCTGAAAAGAAATCTGCGGGAGGATAGTGCATTAAATCAGTGGATATCTGGTAGAATCTCCTCCCATGTGTGAGAGACAGTATGTAAAAATCAAAAGGCGTTTTTTTCTTCCTTCTATTTTAATGTAAATGAGTCAGCGATAGAGCGTTTTCTTGAGATAATTGGTTAGGGTAATGGCTTCCTTGATAGCGAATGAGGTCTGCCAAATAAGGAAGGGATAAATCATAAAGTACCTTGAAAATGGGGACTCATAACTAATTAATATTCTGTATGTGTATCAACAATGCAAGACTGACTTAATCAAGGCAACACTGAAGGATGTTGCAATTAGCACAAAGTGAAGTAATGAAACCCTATGAAATCAGAGCTGAGATATATCATGTAAATAGAATTCAGGTATTTTAGACCCACTGTGAACGCAGTATTGTAGGAGTGTAGACTGTAGCCACATTCTTGCAGGGTTCTTTGGCCAGTGCTTAAGGTAAGTGACAGGCAGGGTAGTGATATTGCATGCAAGGATACTACAAGATACAACTGAGGGAGGGATTACATGGGAAAGGCTAGCTGCCATGCAGGTTAGGTTGAACTGATGTTGATAGCTGAAAACATTAATGAGATAGATAGCATAGAACCAGGAATTTGCTAGAACACTCCTAGCTACTGCTACAGGAAGGAGTGAATTGCTGACAAGGAAGGGTGAAAACATCATTCTGTCCTCCTTCTCTAATGTGCAGCATTGCTGTTGATAGGTTTCTGGACTATTGCCTTTAAAGTATGAGCAGAATGAGTCTCTAGGAGAGGGGAAACATATCCATGCTTGTGCAGTGGACAGAAAGTAAGAATAGCAAGAACAAATGGATGAGGAATACCTGTTGGGCTGAGAGAGGGGAAAAAAGGTAATAATTGCAAGCAATTTTATCTTGAGCATGCCAAACAATTTAATTTGAATGACTTTTTACCTGGACAAACTTGCTTTCTAAGATGGGAGCAGAGATAAAAGGAACATATTCTCCTTGGCTAAGAAGTTTCTGGAGGTCACCAGTAATGGATGCCTGACTTGAACTGATGGTCTTTAAATCAAACTTGCTGTTCATTTTGCCTCTCTACAAAACAAAAATAAAATTACAAGTTAAAGGGAATAGAGATCAAAAAGCTTAATTGTCACACCCTCCCCCCCCCCAATAATTATGAAAACAAACATAATCCTTTCTGATGGGCTTTATTATAGTAGCAAAGAGCAGAACCTCACCCCCTCAAACCATAGATTTTTAAGAACATGCAATCTCAAGTGCAAAAGGGAGCTTAGTAAGGCTTTCTCACAGCTCTTGGCTCTTTCACTATTTAAGGAAAAAGGGCCAGTGACTCTGCAAACACTAGCTTACACATGCTATTCTATACTTCATTATATACTGCTTGTTTACAAGTAATTTTATATATTTTTGTCACTGTCAAGATAACTTCTGCATTTGCAAATAACAGTAGAAACCCTCAAGCTGTTCTCAGTGCTAGATAGTGATGTCCATATTTGCACCTCTTGGATCACATGTTTTTGCCAGGAGTCAAGAAGAGGGCAGGACTTAAGAGATGTTCTGAAGTAGAAGTTCTCCAGCAGCTGACCAGGCTGACTTTAATACAAAAGCTGGAGAATAAGTAACATAATATTGATTGACTCATTGAGGGGAAAAAATCATATTCAAGGCTACTCATTAATTAAATTTTGTACCTATTCATTAAACAGCTGATTTCTATTAACCTAAGTAGATACAAAAGTCTAATTATTTGTTCAGTAAGTAGCAGAATGCCAAGAATAGAAATACCCTGCTACTAGGCTTTTTTAAAAAAATAGATGGAGTAGACTTCTGCTTCCAATTCTTTTCACTTGTATTACTTTTTACCTTATTTTGCTTAGATCAATCCATTTCTTAAACAGACAAGTATGTCTAAGAAAAGAGAGGGTACTAGTCCCTTCTGCAGAGCCTGATGGAATTTTCCCAGCACTAGAAACCCATGATTGGCAGCAGCATCATGCACAGGTTTGATGATATTGTTTACCTGCTTGAGTTTCTTTAAGAAGCCATGACATGAAGAGAAGTAGTATGTGAATCTGTGCACGTGAGGCAGCAAGTGTTGTTGTTACAGGCAGGCGGGGTAGGTTGGAAGAACTTGGCCCCATCACTGCTGACATCACAATACATCACCTGGTTGAGCTCTCATCAGTCCTGGCAGCAATTTCATTTCTTGCTTGCATCAGGGCGTAAGGGTAACAGGTAACATAGATTCACCTGTAACAGAAGAACATCAAGGGCATAACAACATCGGAAGTTTTTGCACAGCTATTATCCATGCCGCACAGGCTGCCAGGGAAGAGCAGCATGGTCTGCTCCACAAGGGATGAGCTGGGAGCCAAGGTGACCTCATCAGAGGCACTGCCTTGAACAGTCAGGGCAGTCTTCCAATCCTGAAGAATTCAAAGTGAATGGGGCTGAGCACGATGGTTGTAATAGGTTCTACTAACAGACACAGACAAGACAAGACACAGAACCTGATCTGGAGTCCATCCTGAGACTCTGTTCCAGGAATCTAGTCAGTAGTAGCAGGAAGCAGGACTGGAGCCAAAACTGTAATAAACATCCAAGGAAATCCACCCAGGAATCAGAGCTGGCAATAGATATACATAAAGCCTCTCTCTCATAAGAACTACATGCCCAAGCCAGGGCTTATGTGTAGTTCCCAGAGCCATAGCAAGGGGTGTGGGGTGGACCCACCCACCAGATGAAGCTGATCAGGGCAGTTAGGGCCTATTGGTGCACTCAGGGCCCTGGCCTGAGTGTTAATGAGCCAATTTAAAATGACTTGTGGTCATGTGTCTTGCTCTGGTTTGTAAAGTTTATCTTCTCTACATACATTCTTTTACTGGAGTAACCTTTGAGATCACCCAGGTAATATCATAATCAACCTATGATATTAACTCCTCCTTTTCACCTTATGTGATACCACTGCTACTTCCAGCTCAGCCTGGTGTTTGGACAGGGTTCAGGCCATGACTGAGCACAAGGCTGGTTGAATCAGAATCAATATTGCAAAATGGGGATTATGTTGCCTGACAGTTTGAAGAATTGTTGTGCAATCTCCTTTGCAGGTACCCAGCCTCCTTGGGGCAGGTATACGTACTCCCTTGCTTAAGTAGGGCCCACCATAGAACAGCTTCTGGACTGTCCAATAATACTATGCACTGACATAGCAATCTCCAGTAGAAATGCTTTCTATTCTTTTCACTATTCAAGACAACTCTGATCCAGCATGGAAAACAGTGGTGCTTTTCTTTCCCAGCTTGGTATCAGCTGTGAAATATACATGGCCAGAGAAGGATAAATAGCATTAGAATCATAGAATCATAGAATAGTTAGGGTTGGAAAGGACCTTAAGATCATCAAGCTCCAACCCCCTTTCCATGGGCAGGGACACCTCACACTAAACCATATCACCCAAGGCCTCATCCAACCTGGTTTGCTTTAGCAAAACTACCACCACCAAGCCCTTTTCAACACTGAATTTCTTTTCCATCTCTAGCCAATGGAAATATAATTACAAACACCACCATGAGTGAGCGACTGAACTGGAGGAGACTGACTCCAATGAAGTCACAGCTCTTGCCTGAACTATTGAAGGCGCAAGTCTGTCTACCTACCCCATACACACATAATCTCAACCCTTGCTTGTACTGCGTAGTAAGTGTGATATGCGGATATCAGAGGAAAGACAGTCTGAGCTAAGACACGCTTAGGAAGCAGTAGAGCCCCAAAGACTGTGGTTTTTGTGGGGAATGAGGTAAATCCAGTAGCCGCATAGAAGTGAGGCTGCGGCAGCAACATGCCCCCAGGTGCAACCAACAATAAGGCTGAGCATGTGTTCCCTCCCAGGAAGTACAACACAAACACACACACAACATGTATACAGCACAACACAGCACTAATGGCCTTATCCCGTTCCCCTCTCTGGCTGATCAGGTTAAAGGTCCATTAGTGGAAAATACAGACATGTATATACGATGTTTATCTCTCCAGCATCTGGGCTCAGGCATTCAGTCTGCCCAGTATCTGGCCCCTGGATCCCAGCCTCCCCAGATGCTGGCACCGGGATGTGGGAACCCCTGAGGCTGTAACTCCACTCCTTTTTGCTGATACACACCCCTCACTCGAACACACATATGTAAAAGCGCATATACAGACCGCAGCCTCTGCAGTGGCCAGCTTTGGACACAGAGTTCACCCTGTAGCTGGCCCTGGATCCTTGGTCTTTCTAGTTCCTCCCCCCCCGTCCCGAGACACCTATATACACACAAACACACACGCACAAATGAGTCTCATGTGACCCACAGACCCCATGGTGTCTCCAGCAGTCTGGGACTCCCCCGTTCCCCCCAGTAGCTAGCTCCTCCCATGGTCTCACCTGTTCCTCACCCAGGAGAAGAGTTAGAAACAACATTTAATAGGACAGATTGTAGTGATCAGGCAGGGCACAGGGCATGGCCAGACAAGCATAACTGTTTACACTTGACCAACCCTTTTAATCCCTTTATCCCTCTATTTTCATACATCTGTTCCTCCCCAAGCCCCTTACATCCATTCCTTTCACCACTTTTGGTTCTTCTTCTAAATCTCATGCAATCCTATAAATGTTTTTCCCCTGCATCCCGTAATGTGTCCTGCACTCCCAGATGGTAACCTTCCATCATCTGAAAGGTGGTTGTGAGAGCCCTCCTGTTGCTTTATGTTAATGGGTTTCAGACCCGGGCAGGGGCTGAGGTACTTCTGGGACAGCCCTGGCCAGGGCCCCAGCCAAGGCACCCCTGTGAATCTTTAACTTGTGTTCCTGCCTGCCATTGTGCTATCGCAGTGATGGGTTTGTGGTGGGCAGGTAACTCCTGTGATGTGCTTGGGAGTAGCTGGCACATGGTGTTATCTGGATTCACCCAGCTGCCCTCCTGTCTGTGCTCCTTTGTGTGTGTGCTTTTTATCCCACCCCTTAACACACGACTGTTATTTTTGTTATTTTTCTTTTAACCCACCCCTAGCCACCACCTCTTAGAAAAACTCCATTTAATGGGGAAGGCAGAAGCATGACTCCTCAGCAATGCATGCTGTCAAGAGCTCATTAAATCCTGTCTTCTCTGTTCCCCGGCTTTTCATAGCACATTGGCCAAACTGATTGGATTTGGCCTGCAGGGAGTAAATTACAGCAAGTCAGTCATGGATGTACAGTGCCAGCTATCTTTTGTTTAGATGGGTTCAAGTACCATTGCATCTGTGTGTGTACCTCTCCTCTCCTGAAAGACTGGCAGATAAGTAGCTCTCAGGCCATTTTCATTTTCATTATCCAATACCTTTAGTAATGAACAGCTACCTGGCACTGACACCAGAGCCCTGACAGACTGTGTTTGCAGAAAGGCATAGCACTCCCCAAACAACCAGCTGTAATCAACATTGGCTCCAGTTCTCTCACCTACACATTGCTGTGAGCTAATTTCCTTGAGTGCGGCACACGTTCCTGCCATGGGGCACTGCAGAGCCACATCCCAAGAGACTGACCACCAGTGTTTACCATGAACATGCTTGTTCCAGCAACCTCGTTCAAATACAAGAAAGCTATAGGAAAACATGAAACCAAATTTTTTTTCACTGCAGCTTCTCCACGTATGCATAAGGGTGTTCTTGCCTTAGGTGGGATTTATTAGGTCACCTGGCAGTAACGCAACAGCATGCTAAAACTAAAGCATAGCTGAAGAGGCTGGCAGCACCAGTGGGCAATCCAAGTGGCAATAAACCACAAGAAAAGGTGAGGAATAAGACATAATAAGGTAAAGTATCAATTTTATAGCATAGCTGTCAAGCCACCCAAGGTCTTTTCACACAGTATAGAACAGATGCTCAGCTGAGGTAATCAATGCAGTCTATTAACAGATTAAACTACAGGTAGCTAAAATAAAGGAAGACACCCATTTATCAGAAGAAGAACTTCAGATGGATTGCTCAAAATTAGTGGAAGTGACTTAAAACAGCTGAGGAAATTCAACACAGATAAAAGTAAAATTATGCCTATGAGGAAAAATGTTTCTGGAAGTGTCATTATAATTATGTTCTTAGGTTGATTGCTACCAGTTAAGAATGAGACTTTAAGGTTATCTGTATTTTAATGTCCTTAAAACCACATCGGTCAGAAGAACAAAAATTAACTATTAGGAACAGAGAACAAAGAGAAGTCATTGTTATGTGGGTACATAGGATGATAGTGATGCCTTTTAATGTGTGTGGAGTTCTGGTCTCCTTGTCTCAGACAGAATATAGTAAAATTGAGGAGGGTGCAAAGAGAAACACAAGCATAATCCAATTTATGGACTGTCGGAGACAGAACATGACCACAAAGGGCAGACTACATAAATGAAAGACTTAGATGACTGCCATCTGTGGGTGGTACAGTGAGGATGACTCCTCTTTGCCTCAACATGAAAGCTAAGTGGCATCAAACAAAACCAGGAGGTGGCTGATTCAGGACAGAACAGAGGAGATAGATACTGCTTCAGACTGAAAATGTGGGAATTCTTGCTATGAACGCTGGGGGACTATTTGGAAGATGGATGATGATCTACTTATCATGCATTTATACTGTGTCTGAGATGTGAACTATTGGCTACTTCTTTGCAAGGGGGAGATTTTTGTAAAAGAAATGTATCTAAAAGCACAAAGGCTGCACAGTGCAGGGAAGTTTGTTGTCTCCTCAGCAGTTTTTGGAGTAGACCCACAGAAGCTGCCTTCTCCTCCTGGTACCAGCCATCGCCAGCATAGGAAGTTGCATCTGCAAACATCTGGGTTGACCTCTCCTGGCCCAGTGTCTGGTCTATATGTTGTTGCAGAATTAGGTCCTCCTTAGTGGTCCAATCAGCACAGCATTTCAAAATGATGAAGTCACTGGTGACTTTGCCACAACAGAAAAACATCTGAGTTAGTTAGGAAATGCTCTTGACAGACAGGTAATAATGTGTTGTTTTTGAAAAGCTTTTCATCCTTGATGTGCTAACTCTCATTTGTCCTACCGATTGTTCTGATTTCTGTTTGGTAATGGAATCCTTTCAAA